GCTGCTTTTTCTAGAAGTGTTTTAATGAAAGTTAGGTTTTGAGCTGCTGTGAAGTCACCAAACTGGACTGGGGTCAGTAGCATGCTGCTTGATCAATATGTGTGAATTATCTGTGTTTAAAAAAGTTGTCAGTTTTGAGATTTTAGAAGATACTTTGTGGAGTTAAAGAAAAAGCAAACTGATAGAATGTTTTCTTTGTGAAAATTGGTGTAATAACAAAAAAACTTGGTTTTGACAGGTATGAAAGGTTGCTGAAGGTGTGTTCCATAGCTCTCGTTGGCAAGTACACAAAGCTAAGTGATTGCTATGCATCTGTTTTCAAGGCTCTGGAACACTCTGCGCTGGCAATTAATCACAAACTTGAATTAATGGTGAGGATATTTCTGGATTTTGCTTTCAGGAATATTTTGAATATACTTTATTAGTTCCAGACATGTGAGGCAGCTTTAATTCATGTGGAAATTAGGAAATGAATCATTGCAGATAAACACAGACTGGCCAGGCATCTAATTTTTTAAAATAAATGTTTACAGATTTAATTATATTATTTGGAACTAAACTTATCTGATAGGAATACTGCAATTACCCAAAACTGCATCTGATGATAAAGCAGTTTTTACCTGCAAATTTCTATTTAGTATCAAAGATGGGTTTCATGTGTTCTCATGAGACTGCTTATCATGCTAATGAGGTTAGCTTAAAGAGAGGAGAAAATAAGTACATTGAAAAGTAGTTTAGTTTCTTTTTAAAATCCGGTGCCAAAAGCTGTTGTTCATAATTTCATTTAATATTCTGAGAGCTGTCCATTTTCTTTTAATCAGGATTCTAATGATACCGGAAGTGGGCCATAAACATAGTTTCTTCAAAATAGTCTGGGGCAGATATGCAGTGTGGAAGTGTGTATTATTATCACTTAATAGGTACACAGGACATTTTAGCAACTTGCCGTAGCAAGACAGTAATAAATGGTCGCAAAGAATAATCAGTGACACATTGCTTTAGAGTGATTCATTAAATGCTATAAGATCAATTGATCAAAGTGGGCAGATGCAAGCTATACTGCAGTCAGTGATATGAAAAAATTGAATATATTAGAGTGAAAGTTTCACTGTGTCAGAAGTCATGCATGGGTCACTTAGATAGTGCTTGGGCAAGGAAAGCAGGCTGTTCCCACTCAGCTCTAGGAAGTTTGTCACTGGAACTAACCACTTTTTGACAAGTAAGGTCTTTAGTATCCAGGTGGCTTAACAGGTTGCTGAAGGCAGCAAGCCAAAGATAGTGGCACCATTCTGTTGTATCAGTCCATCCACCCCAGAAAGAAGCAATGGGAGCACGCAGAACAACCAGGGATGCATATGTGCTTCTTTAATGAAGTATGGAGTGATGAATACATGGGAATCCTGTTTCCAGTGATATTGCCAGTGTCTTTTGGGAGAAGATAAGTTCCATAAGCCATGAACACTGAGTACTAAAGGACTGTCTTTTATATCAGAAACATACTTCTGTTTATATCACCTCAGGTGTTTTCAGCGTCTTGGTGGAGAAGGTGACTAGCCCTGTAACAAGATAACCAATTATGTTTTGTACCCTTCCATCACTGCTTGGTTCTGATGTTCTAATGTCAATTCTTACTGTTAATCAGATGGTGAAGCAGTTGCAGCAGCTTGTGATGATGTAGAATGTACTTTTTGCTGTAGTTTGTGCTGTGTGGGCCCTGAAATTGCCCTATTGTTTTCTCACAGTTTCATTCTACTGCTTGTCTCAGGCCCATCAGTCAGCTGCAGATCCTCATATTTTGCTTCTCATTATTGGTGCATCAAGAACCTTTTGAAGTAGTGGAGGCATGCAGAGGTGCACAAGCAAAAGCTAACCTGAACTATTTTTTTCAGTAGGACTTCTTTATTGTGAGAAGTGGGTTAATTTATTTTCTGGAGAGGTGGAAGAGGCCCGTCCTATCAAGAAAAAAGGAAAAAAACTACAGAAACTGATTATCTCTAGTGTCCTTTTACTCTTGTCCCCTGCAAGATATCATAGAATCATAAAATGGTGTGAGTTGGAAGGGACCTTAAAGATCACCTAGTTCCAACCCCCCTGCATGAGCAGGGACACCTCCCACTAGACCAAGTTACTCGAAGCCCCATCCAACCTGTCCTTAAACTCTGCCAGGGATGAGGCTTCCACAACTTCCCTGGGCAACCTATTCCAGTGTCTCACCATCTTCACGCTAAATAATTTCTTCCTGATGTCCATCTTATATCTCCCCTCTTCCAGTTTAAAGCCATTACCCCTCATCCTATCACTCCATGCCCTTGTAAAAAGTCCCTCCCCAGCTTTCCTGTAGTCCCTTCAGTTACAGGAAGGCTACTATGAGGTCTCCTTCAAGCCTTCTCTTCTCCATGCTGAACAACCCAAATTCCCTTAGGCTGTCTTTGTAGGAGGGGTGCTCCAGCCCTTTGATCATCTTCATGGCCCTCCTCTAGACTCGTTCCAGCAGGAGGAGGATCTAAGGAAATGGCAGGTTGTCAGCCTCACCTCATTCTCTGGGAAGATTATGGAGCAAATACTCCGAAAGGTTGTTTCTGTGTGCATGAAAATCAAGGAAGTGGGAACAGCCAGAATTAATACCTAGAGATTTTCAGATCCTTATTGGAAATGGCTCTGAGTAATCTCCTTTAATATGACCAGCTATGAGCCAGGGTTTGGGCTAGAGCCCTTCCAAGGCCCTTTCTGACCTATTTTATTCTGTCACTAAATACTTTATACTGGCAGCTGCCTAGTGGAAAATGGAAGTTTTTATGATATGTAAAATAAAAAATATGTAAAATAAAAAAAGAAAAAGAAAAAAAAAAGTGAAAGGCACCAAGTCTGCAAATGCACATTAGCATTGTGTGCAGCTAACCTGAAGTTTGGTGGAGCTTTTACATTAACAATCATGTCAATCAACAGTTGCTGAAGCTCCAGTGCAGTACTGAAATCTTAATAGACAATGGCTCCTACTGCACTTACTTGCATATGCTAACCTTGTTTTTAGTGTTTTTGTCCAAAGGCTCTCCATATAATCCTGTGTTCTGCTTAATATTGTATGTGGCATCCAGCTCAGACACTAGCATCCACATGACTGACTGGAAAAATTTTGATGCTGCTTGAAGTGATAAATGTGCTGGCCTGGTATGTTTTGCAAGGAAACCACAATTAACTTTGACTGTAATTAGTTCCTCTTTCCAACCTCCCAGCATGACAAACTGTCCTTTTAGTTTATCCTATAGTAACCTACCAGTATAGAATAACAGCACTTATAAGTAGTTATTTTTCTGTTTTATGTTTTCATGGCTTCCAGAGTGTGGAAAAAAGTGGAAAATGTTTGCAAGAAGGCAGCCCTGTCTGGAAAACTTTCAGCAGCCTTCTTGGTTTCATTACTCTGCACACAAATTTGAGTTCTGTTATTTCAGATAATCTCATTTTTATGGGGGTTGGATGCTACAGCAGGATGCTATTTTTTATATTATTCAGAGAAAAAGACTGCCAAAACCAAGAAACAATCTCTCATCTTTTGTGTCCCCAGTGCAGTACATAGCTGCCTCACTCATTTACTATAGTGGTACCTCAGGAGATGTGCATATTAATGGCAGCAATCTAATGAAGTATTTCTAGTAGGACATAATAATGAGTCTGCCTTCCTCTGTACACTTGATGCTTTCCAGGAATGACTTTCTCGTAGGTCAGACAGTGCAGGTTTATCCAGTCCGTGATAAGATTAGATAAACTGCGGCCCTGAAAATCTAGGAAGGTGAACATCCTGCCCACATCTTGTTTGGATGTCAGGATAAGGTCAGGAACACTCCTTCAGTGGTGCCCTGATTTCCGTAGAAAGAAAACGTGAGTGTCCAGGTATGGAGCATTCTACCAAATCTGCCTACCTGCAGGACTGTGGGCAGACAGAGCTTTGGAGCTATGTGCCAAGAAAGAGGCATGGATTGTTGCAATTAGAGCAAATACTGGGTCTTCAGTGACATTGTTACAGGTTTATTGGGAAATTCACTTGAAAGTCTAATAGGTTTGTCTTAATGCTATGAAAAAGTTGGTTATATAGTGTATGCTGCTCTTTCTGTGGCAGAAAATACTATTTTATTGTGTTTTTTTCTTTACTAGTACATAGATTCAACAGAACTGGAACGTTCTACAGAAGCAGAGAACTCTGTGAAATATCACCAGGCATGGCACAAACTATGCAAAGCAGAGTAAGTGGCATTGGGTGTTCTGTATTGTGATAATTATTTCATGTGGTGAAACATGCTTCAGTAAACAATTTCTCATTGCATCCAAACTTCCATTACTTATGCAAAGGGATAAATGTTCACGGTTGGTGACAAGCTTCAAACATAGCAAATTATAGTATCAACGTATATGCTCAAACTCTGCTTTAATCTCTTTAGATAACTTCCAGTTCTTTGGCTGGATTTGTGGTTTGTTTGGGTTTTTTCAATAGCTAGACTTTACAGTGCAGGTCAGTTGTCAAAGATTTTTCTTTGTCTACATGCATTATAGTGAAAGGTAATTAGAAAAAAGCTTAGTAAATACTGGGGATGCTCTGCAAATGTCTCTGTTGAGAATCATTGCCAGGATTTCAACTTGCATATGTAAAGGGACGTTGTTTGTTGTCAAAATGCATTTCATTTCTTCAGTGTTATTTAGTAGACACAAAGTTTTGATGTTAAAATCCTAGAATAGTGAGTACGTAGCTGCTTTATTTAGGCAGTGGAAATTTCACTGTGAACCATGAGGTGGGTGAGATGAGAATTGGGATGGCTAGATGGGACAGCTCTCCAAATTTAGAGTTACATTTTGTATAGTCTGTATGGTCACACCAAACGCCTTATGTGCATTGTACTTGCTTTGTTATAACCTCAATAATCTGTCTTCAATTTGTATGGACTTCGTTTACTGGCTTGATTCTACACGTTGTTTGCTTTATATATGGCTGTCATTACAGTGGAATTCTGGTCCCAGGAGGGTTTGGAATTAGGGGAACAGAAGGCAAACTTCAAGCTATCTCCTGGGCACGAACAAAGAAAAAACCTTTTCTTGGTAAGATAATTAGAGTCAGAAATTATTGTGTTTTGAAGGTGTATAGCAAGCTAATTGGTTTGATTTAAAAAAGAAAACGAACGACAAGCACACACTAGGGAAGGATCCTATCTTAGGGAAATATGTGTGCTGTTGTGAATATTTGCCTTGTAAATAATGCCCAGGGTCATAGGCATGTGCTACATCTGCTGTATAAAGGAGGAAGAAAAAAACTATCTCCAATCCAAAGGTTTATTTGCTATATTCACATTTTATGTGGACAGTCTTTGCTTCCTGTTTTAATTAAATCAACATCATTATAGATATTAATCAGTGTGCAAAAAAACAATAGCTGTCATTGGACACATTCACTATATTAAATATTTCTTAATTTACTGGTATATTTTATTATGGTAAAGGCTAAAGATGCTTTCTGACCTATAAGCTAAGTGCTGTTTGTGTAAGTGCCTCTGAAGCTTTGGTTCTTCACTGCATTTCGTACCATTTTCTAAGTGACTACTTTTTCTAGTTGCCAAAGAAAAATTTGAATCTGCATATACCCAGGCTTTCAGCTTCTCTTCGTCTTTATACTAATTACTGGTAAATTAGATGAGAGGAAAAAAAAAATTTGAAAGGGCTTAAAGCACACAATTTTGTCGCATAGTATTTACTGGGTGCCAAGTTTGAAGGGTGAATTTACACTGAGAAGCCATTTTTGCTTTAGCTTTTTGTAAAGTCTGTGTATATACACTGAATACCAAGATTTCAAGCAGTCAGGTTGAAGACAGAACAGCAATACTTAGTCCTGCTCTTGGACCTGTTAAAATCTGGGGGTTTTGTTTTCTCTTCTAGGAGTTTGCCTGGGAATGCAATTAGCAGTTGTGGAATTTGCAAGAAACTGTTTGAATTGGAAAGGTGAGCTCTGTATGCTAGTGTGAATATGATATGCTTAGAAGAAATTTTGTTCTGTCTGTGAAATGTGTATCTACTACTAGGACTATAATGTAGACCCTGTGATCATTAGGTACTTAGCTCTTGCAACATGGTCATTTTTAGCAAAGCACCCTGTGTTACCTGTCTGTAGGAACTTTTATTGTGCAAATTGTTTTAAACCTGCTCCCTGATCTGAGGAGCATAGAAGAAAGTGTGCTTACAGTTCTCCTCTGTTGTCTCTTTCTGGAATGTGCAGGTGGTGAGGAGTAAAAACTGAGAAGTGGTTTTCTCACTTGATTTCATTAATTGGATTAGCCAAACCAATAGCCATTGCAGTAGTAGTATGAAGAGATTTAGCTAACCAATGAATTTCTACCAGTAAGAGCTAAGACAAAAAGGTTTTGGGAAGTAGGGAAAAGGAGTGTGTGTGCCTGAGGTCATATGCTTCCTGTGGTTGCTTCAGAAGTGGTGCAGTAGGTGTTTCAATACACAAGATTTTAGCTTCAATGCAGGCAAGCCTGGAAGTGCCACAGAACAGTTATGGTAAGTTTGTAGTGCATGTAGAGCAATGAAAATATACTGTGTTTGTTTTGAACTTCTGTTTCAGATGCAAATTCTACAGAATTTGACCCAGACACAAAAACCCCTGTTGTAAGTACTGATTTTTTTTTTTTCCCTGCTGCATGTGCTTTGTGGACATGTCCCAAAAGCAGGGTCCGTTACCCAGTGTGCAAGAAGCTGGTCAACACAGAGTTGATATACTTGCTTTAATATTGAAGTATAAGGGCTGCTTATATACACAGAAACATGTAAAATTACTTGAATTGTATTCTCTCTTGTATACACGATTGGTTAACTAGTTCTTTGCTTCCATTTAAAGTGAAAATGCTTAAAAATTTACTGTGCAGGCTTAAAGAGCAGGGGTTTTTTTGTTAGTCCCTCTTTTTTATTTGTCCCTCTAGCCTATGGGTCGGTATTTTAGTATGTTAATATGGAATATTAATATGGTGAGTCCAATTAGTCAGTGTTTTCCACCTACTGCTGAAGGCTATAATCAAGATAAGTTGTGGGGAGTAGTCCCTTCCATTCTTTTCATCTGTCTCACAGGCCTGTTTCTCAAGGACAGGCTATTGTCTACTAGGGATGTGCTTTTCTCTAATTTTTGCTGGTTCAGTGTTACATAAGCTCTGTTTTTGTTCTGTGTGTTTCTTTGTATTTTTCTATGTGATTTTTGCCAAAAAAAGTATCAATTAATTTCAGTTAATAACAGTCATCGAACATGCATCTAACGTACCTCTGTGTAGTTAAGGTCTATCTGTATTTTCACAAGACACAAAGAGGTATTTACTGTCCCTATCTATTGTGTTTAAAAATACATTTTCTTTTAATAGTCCCTTGCCTTCACCTGCTTGCTTCTATGGTTTTCCTAGTAATCCTTAACCTTTTACATACATTTATATTTTGATAATAGCTTTGTGCTAAACCCTTCCTCCCCCGTGCATCTCACAGTCCTCCTTTTCAGAAAAATTTCAATGCTATAGATACGGCAGGATTCTCTGTGTCACATGGCAATGGTAGAATTTTGGAGTGCAGATAATCCAGTTATCTCCTAGTTCAGGGGAGTATGGTATCACATTGTCATAATAGTAAAACTTAATAATGATCAGTAAGAGAGAGTTTTTAAGAAAATGAAAAAGAGAAGAAAACTGGGTGAGAAATAGTCGTATCTTGGTGTAAGATGTAAACATCTGTTGTAGTGATAAATGGGTTTCTCATAGTGACCTCCTGCCTCTGAATGAATTTTCTTCAAAATAGTTTCGTTGGGACTTGTAAGTAAAATGTATTTTTTCTGCATCTGCTTAGTCTGAAACATGCAAATAGAAGGTTTTTAAAGCATGTCACCTGTTTTTCAAGGTTGTGCATAAGTGAGATCATCTGGTCTGAACTTTTGAAGGTGAATTAGAAACCTTCAGAGCTTTAGCACAAGATTTGCTGCTAAAACTTGATGGTGTTTGGAAATGTCCTCAGCGAACAAAGGTAAACTTTGCATTTGGCGTCAAATTTGTGAGTTTGCCATTGTAAGAGGTCTCTTCCTTCACCCTTCTTGAATATATGTGAAGACATACTCTTTTTCTAGAAGGGCCATTTTCATAATAACAATGTTTTGTAAAATGTGAAAGGTGTTGGAAGGTTTCTGTACGTTTTTTGGGAAACGAGAGGTATAGTATGGAAGACAGATTCTGGAGTACCTTTGTTTGTAGGGCTTTTTAGTACCAGTTTTATTTAATTTCTCATGACTACATTTCAGCTGGTCACCACAGGTACCTTTTCCGGATACAGGCAGGCCATCAGGAGGGGGTGAGTCTCCTGTTGGAACTGCTGATTTCTCTCCATTATTCTTGTTCACAATAGCTGGCTCCAATGCAGAGCTCCACACTTAGCTGAAGCTAGGAACATGGATGCTTGTCTGCTGCACCCCTACCAGCAGTTTCCAGAAACTGTAGTGTGTATTAGTACACTATATCTAGGGCGAAATTTTATTCCATGAGTAATTAACTGAGTGGTTTGCATTTTGCATTCAAGGGCAAGCAAGGTTTATATGTTAAAGAGAAACGTGTGTGAACATAAAATTAAGAAAATAATGGAGTGAATATACATGTCATAGAAGATTAATACAGTGTTTTCATTGAAGCAGCATGCTTGCAAATACATAGAATGGATGTTATTTTGTTCTGAGCTATGTTAAAGTTCTGAAAGTGGTTATTACCAGCTGTATTTCAGCATCTTAATCTGATTTTTGACATCTCAGTTCTGGGCAAGAAACAGGTGTAAATCATTCCTAGGGGGAAATTTGCACTATTGATAATTATAACTGCTACCTTATCTACCTCAGCAGAGTCCATCTTGTGCTAAAAACTGTTTAAATATTGCATATAATAACAAATCAATAAAAATGATTGGAAGAGAAGCAGATTAGTGAAGGTCGTGATCTACTGAACAGATGTGGATATTTCATTATCCAAGAAAGTTAATTGGAAACACTGTAACAGCTCTGGTAATATCTTGTGCTGCTACGGAGTGGTTCATCTGACTGCTAACTTGGGACCAAACCAGTGTACTCTTCTTTTGGTTTCTGCTCCTTTGGAAACTAAAGAGGGAGAAGAATGACATTGATGAGGCAGTAGTTTTATTTTCTTTTCCTTTAACACAAGTTATTGTACTATAAAAGAGGATCATCTGCATTAGTAAGAAAGTTTTGAGCATTGTAAAAGATTTTTATGTGTTGGGCAATTGTGACTTGTTCTGCTTTGAACAATAAGAAATGCACAACTGAACATCCAAATGGAGTTGCCTGCAATGCTGATGAGCTGCTTCATTTTAACTGTTCATCTCTTTCTACTGATTATCATTATAACAAGGTTGCTCAACCTGAGTTCTGCAAAAACACCATTAATAGCTATGTGGGAAGGAAACTGTAAGCCTGTATTGCTTGGTTTGGGGATTATTGATGTCGATTGTATTGACATGTAAGTAACTGTGGTTGTTAGAGAGTTAAGATTTCAAATACCTGGGAAAAATAATAGTCTCTGCATACAAGAAATAGAAGTTAATGACTTAATAATGTAAAACAGGTAAAGTTGTGATTTTAAAATACTGTAGGGGAAAAATAATATTCCTGTAGCTGCCTATCTGTGTGATGAAAACTTAAAGAAAATGAGACCTAGAATTTGCAAACATTAATAAGCTGTGATTTATAAGCTGTATTTGAGAGATTTAAAGTTGCTATTATATATTTGCATTTAGGCTTAAATTAAAATCTGTACTCTGAAGAAAAAAACCAACCAACAACCTCTGATACGGCAGTTATCTATATTCACCCAGCCATACCATCAAAATGCCACCTGAGGATTTTGGTTTTAGTTCCTCTTTAACACGGGTTTAATTTTGGTAGGGAAAATGAGAGGGATACATGAGCACTGATCACAGTCTTTTGAGTTCTTGGTCTCTTCTTGGTTGGTTATTTGCAGGTCATGTTTCTCATTAGATATTCTTAAGCTTTCTGCTTTACTTTCTAGTCTTTTGGATAATAGGGATAGGTAAATTGTTATTATTTGCAGGAAGATAGCAGTTCAGAAAAGTAATGCATTTGCTTGAGAGCGTTGCTTAGTATGAGTTTTCTGTTGCAAATGATAATTTTAAAATTAACTCCTTTAAAGGGAAACTGGATAGTGTCTGAACTGCTAATGAGCTGGATTCACTGGATAGCAAAAGAGCTACTTGTTTTTTTCCATATCCCTCATCTTCTTCTGCTATTAAACTTAGACTTACTGTTTTGTATGAGCCTTGTAATGATGTTATTTGTCAATTCTATTGCAATTGCATCTACTACCATTCTAGGTAAGAAAGAGCCTCTTTCCAGAAATAATTCTAATGCACTTTAATTTTATTTTTTCTAAAATCTAATTTTAATTGCGGCTATTGTTTTTCATGACCTATTGCATCTTTGTAAGATCACGAAACTTCAGATACTGCATCGAGTAAAGTAAGTGCATTTTTTTCTGTGGACTCAAGAAATTGTGCAGAAATAGATTTTGCCAGTAGGTGACGCTCTTACAACGTTTGTTTCTTGATGCCCACTTTTCCTATTCAGGATGCTAGTAACCTGATTTAATTAAAGGTCTTCAAAGGTTGTCTAATGGATGAAAAGAAATGGATGCCCCGCTCATGTAAAAGCACCTCTTGCAAGTCTGTGGTTTTACTTAAGGCTGTAAACTAGATAATGTAGCTGAGCAGGCAATTGTGTGTGGGATATATTTTGGTTTGTAACAAAGCATATTGCTAATTTTAAATAAGTTTTTTCATAAACCACGCAAAAGTAATAAATATTATTTTCTTTTCTTCCAAGAAAGGCAAGATATTTTAACAGCTGAAGAATGACCCAGGAGCCTGTTAGAAGATGCATATAATATTTAGATATAATAGTTTGAGGCTTCTAGTCATGCATTGCTGGTGTACAGTACTTTATTCCTCATTACATGAAGGGGAAGTTCAGGGTTGGGAACTGCTGTAGTGTGGGATCTTGAATACACTTGAGAAGCTTTGCAATTAAGTAGAGTCTTTAAATCCTTAAGTAATTCTGAGATCTAACTGGTTTATCAGGATAATGGGTGATGTTGGTGTTAAAATTCAGTCAAAAATTCCAAGTTCTGTAGTGGGATTAGTGGCTAATCACTAAAATTACTTGTTGTCAAAATTTCCATTCTTCTAATTTCTCTTATTTTTGTCTAGTATCCTCTTAAAGAAAGTAAAAATTCCCATGAATTACATGTGTGAAAATATATATGTCACAAGGAATTGTGCAATGAAAAAGTTAAAACTGTTCCACATAAATATGATGAATGTTTTAATTGCAACAGCAATCACTCAACTGCTATATTTATTTAGGTGTTCCTTTTATGAGAGTAATAACAAAAAAGTGCATCCTTATGTAAATATAATTTAAAATGAGTATATTCATATTTAGCATTGTTACATTGTTATTGAACATAAGTACTTTATGTTTAAAAAATTGGAATTGTTTACCATATGGAAGTGTTGTCTTATGTGGATGATGAAACTGAGCTGGGAGGAGTATTGAGTAGTATATGCCA